CCCAAACTCCGACACCCCCCCCGCCAGCTTCCCTGCATCCCACTCCCACCCCAGTCTCCCTCCTCCTGTGTTTTGGGTTTGCGCTGGGGACAGCGTTGGGCTGGGGGGGCCGCGTCAGTCATGGCTGAGCGGCGCTTGCACAGCACCAAGGGCTGTTCTGCTCCTCGCAACAGCCCAGACAGCTGACCCCAAGGGACCCAAGGGATATTCCAGACTGCATGAGGTCATGCACGGCAATAAAACTGGGGCTGGAGTTTTTGGCGGGGAGGTGCTGCTCGGTCATTGGTTGGCTGGTGGTGAGCAATTGTTTTCATTTGTATCACTTGCCTTTCTTGGGTTTTATTTTTCTCTGTTAGTTTTTTTCTTCTTTTCCTTACCGTTTATTGTTGGTTTTATTTCTTTTTAATTATTGATACCTCAAGCCATGAGTTTTCTCACTTTTGCCCTTCTGATTCTCTCCCCCGTCCCACTGGCGGGGGAGCGAGTGAGCAGTGGTGTGGTGCTTCGTTGCCGGTTGGGATTAAACCACGGCACAAGGTTAGTTGCAAGCCCTGCCTGGCTGATGCTTTAGGCTCTCCATGTTATTCCTACCATCTTGATAGGCCGTCCTTGTTCTTCGTTGCTGCTTTATAGTGCCTTTTGCTCCATAGGCAGCAGTACTCGGGCCGTGCGAGCATAGCTGTCTCCCAACCGCTGGGAAGTAACTCTGCCAAAGGCAAAGAGCGAAACGGCCGTGGCACAACCTGCAGCGATTCTGCCTCTCGAGGGACCCTTTCTCTCACCTTTTACTCTGTCCAGCTCATCTGGAAAGTACGGCTGTTGCAGAAACTGCCACCCCCTGTACCTCCTTCTCGGGTTGGCACTGTGTACAGGCTGCCGAGGTCACCAACTCTGCACGGGACACCAGCACCCTGGCGAGCTTTACACCCGGTCATTCCTTTACCCTTGGGCAGCAGCAGTTCTGCTACAGGCAGCCGCTTTCTCAAGGGCAAAGGGCTGGGACGACAACAGGCTGCTGCACGCTCCCGGTGCGGGAGAAGCTGAGGTCCTTTCTGCGCTGCTAACGGCCCATCACAAGGGAACCCTGCTCTGCTTTTAGCAGAAAAAGGTGTCGGTCGCAGGCAGCCACGTATCGCTGTGCCCAGCTGTTTGGCAGGTGTCTCGCTTGTTTAAGTAGAGGCGTATTTCTTGCCCTGCGGTCTTGATGCCAAAACAATCAGGGGTTCAAGTTACAAAAGCCCTTTGCCATCAGAGCAAGACGACAGCTAGATTTCTACCAGCACTGTATTTCAGCTGTGTTGCTAGCTGAAAATGGCTTGCAGGCCAGGAGAGGTTTAGAGGGGTGTGAATTAAAGAAAGCGAGTGTTTGTTTTAGGGAGGCGAATTAGGCAGCCAAAGGAGCTGAGCTGCTCAGCCGACACGTTGGCAGCAAAGCGCGACTGCGACGCTTGCTGGCAGGAGCGGCACGGAGTGCTGAGCCACGCTCCTGTACCGAGCAAAGATGGAACCTCCAGGGCTCTAGTCATCTGCTAAGGACATCTAATATGCTGCCGTGCCCCTTTGCTTTCCTTGCTTCACGTCTAATTACTTTGCAGGCTGGAGGGCAGGGGGGTAAGTAACATCGTGCGGTGTTTCTTACCTCGGTGACAAAGCCTGCACAGGAAGCCTTGTGTGCCTGCAGGATTAGGAGAGCAGGGTGCTGATAGCACAGAGGTGAGGAAATGTGCAACCCCCGCAAAAAAGCCCAAGGATCACCAGCGCGTCGCTCATCTGCAGATCAGCCGCTCGCATCTGGTCTGCTCAGACGCGCTGTTTTCTGCTAAGCGTAGCTGCCCCCCTCACCCAAAGCAGCTTTCGGTCTCTTCTGACCTGCCTTCAGGACGTCATCCGTGTCGCCTTATTTTTTTTAAATCTCTCGCCAGCATGTGTTGTCTCACTGCCGTTGTCACCGAAATCGGGAAATGAACTCATTAACACTAATGTAGTATTAAGAAGCAGGCATTCTTTATTGCAGCGCCAGATGCACGGGGGATCGCTCAGCCTATCGTGCATGTCGTATGTTGCATCAGTCAAAGCTTGTATTACCCTGTTACATACATATGCATTAAGTTTCCCAGAATGATTATACTTATTCAATCTCTTTCCTGGGACTAATTATCATATTTACATAGTCATTACGTAGGCAGCCTGGGTCTCTGAGGGGCTTCCATGGGGGTCTTTAGAGATGCCTAGTGGTCCCTAGTGCTTGTGAAAGGGCACTTCTTACTGTCCTTCCCGTGAACCCTGGGTTCCTCTTTATGGTCATGAGTTGGCCCATCAACCACCTGGTCTCAAATTGTTGCAAGAGTTGTGAGCTTCAACTGGGTTCTGCTTATCTAGACGTAAGCATTTTTTAGTTCCAGCTATCTCTGGTTAACCAGGAGGCCTATTCACAAGCATCCTTGAGCTATCAACGTTACTTACTGTCGTTTAATGAATTGTTAAGTTCGCCTCACAACACTGTCACTCCCACAACCCCAATGTGAGGTGCAGACAATCCCTGGGGCTCAATCCGGGGGACACCCCCCCACCCCGTTCCACAGGTTCCCTGTGCTCCTTCTCCTCCGTGGGTAATGGGGTGGGGGGCACAGACAGAAGCAACCACCAGATTTTTAAAGCAGTCAAACGCAAAGGACTGAAATGCTCCAGCCACTTGGGTGCTTTTTGGTACGGAGGCAATGAAGATTACTGCCTGGGCTGGGAGTGGGAAAAGGGCAGGGAAATGTAAACCCTGTACGCCCCAACAAGCAGTTACTGCCTTTGGATGGTGTAAACTGGGCTGTGAAGTCATTTCTCACCCTCCTGAACGTTCAGGAAAGACTAATTAACAGGCTGCTGCCGTAGTGGCAAGGCGGTGCTGGGGGCTGGGGGCTCCTGGCTGTGCGAGAGCTGTGATGAGCCCAGGACCCTTGAGGCCCTGTCACCCCTCTTGTGCGTCCCAGGCTCTCCCTGCCCCTTTCCTGGCCCCGTCTCTTTCCCATGCTGCTGGGATTATTTTTGTTGCTTCCCTGTACCTCTCCTCTCTATTCTTCTGTCCTGCTCCTTCTTCCTCCCTCTTGTTCTACCACTCCTTTTTCTTTTTCTCTCTGTGCTTTTGTCCTGCTCCCTCTCCCTCCTTTCTTCATCCTCCATCTCTGTCCTGCAGCCTGTCGCTGTTTTTTCCTTTTCCATCTTTTTATCCTGATCTGCATCTGCCTCTTTTTTCCCGACAATTTCTCTGGCTTGTTCCCTGGTGTTCTTTTCCTCTCTGCACCGGTATGTGCTCCTCTGTGTCCCTGCCTTCCAATCTTTCTCCCTCCTTCCTTTTCTTTCTCCCTCTCTCCCTTTGTATTGCTCATTGTCGCTGGTATTTTCCATTCTGCATCTCACTGTCCCCATCCTCCTTCCTGTTCATCTCTTACTCTCTCTGACCCTTTGTGCTGCTCCCTGCCCCTATTATTTATTGCTTCACCTCTCTGCCCTGCTCTCTGTTGCTGTGTTTTCTCTTGCTCCATGTCTCTGTCATTCTCTCTGTTGGTCCCATTGGCTTTCTATCCCAGTGTCCTGCTCCCCATCCCTCTCTCTTTCACAGTATCCCGCTTTCTGGCTCCCTGTCCCTCACCTGTTTTCTATATCCCTCTGTCCTTCCTCCCGTCTTTCCTTGTCCCTCTGGCCTGCTACGCATCACTGCCTTTTTTTCCCTTCTCCATCTCTCTGCCTCAGTCCTGTCACTCTCCTCCTCTCTCATCTCTAATGTTTCTTTCTTGATCTCTGCCCTGCTCCCTGTCCCTTTTCTCTTATTCTGTCTTCCCCCTAACTTTTTGTCTGTATATCTCCATACTACTGCCTATCCCATCGTTTCTCACTGTGTCCGCCTGCCAAGCTCGCTGTCCCATTATTCCCCTTCGTCCTGTTCCCTGGCCTTTTTTCTCATCCTGCAGTCCATCAGACCATCTTCAATAACGGGATGGTCCACGTGGCACCAGGCCTGCTGGCGTCAGATGGGATTCACCTTTCTCAAAGGGGGAAGAGCATCTTTGCTCATGAGCTAGTGGGGCTTATTGACAGAGCTTTAAACTAGACTTGAAGGGGGATAATATCAGGCTTGCCCGTGACAAGCTGTGGGATGACACACCAAGGTTAGAGGGACAGGGTGCTTGTGTGTGTGGCTTTTGCTTTACCTATTAAACTGTCTTTATCTCAACCCATGAGTTTTCTCACTTTTACCCTTCTGATTCTCTCTCCCAATCCCACTGTGAGGGGAGTGAGCAAGCAGCTCTGTGCTGCCTAGTTGCCGGCTGGGGTTAAACCACGACACCAGTGCAACAGGTTGATGGTCAGCTGGAGTCAGACCCCATCAGGGCAGCTCCCAGGGATTTTCTGAGAGCTGGTGGAGAGAAAGCAGGAAGAGGGGCAGGAGATGGCTGCCCCCATCCCTCTGGGTACCTGGAGGCCTTCCCACTCCCTGGAAAAGGTGCTGGGTGCCTCTCCAACTCAGCGGAACTCCTCCAGCCCTGCTCACCCCATGCAGTCGCCCCCAGCTCCAGCACCTCCCCTGAAGCCTGTCCCATGGCCACCGACTGCCTCCAAACCCTGTCGTCATAGCAGCAAACTGGCCCTTTGTCCTGGTTTTGGCTGGAATAAAGTTAATTTTCTTCCTAGTAGCTGGTATAGTGCTGTGGTTTGGATTTAGTATGAGAAGAATGTTAACACACTGACATTTTAGTTGTTGCCAAGCAGTGTTTATACCAAGTCAAGGACTTTTCAGCTTCTCATACTGCCCTGCCAGTGGAGGCTGGGAGCGCACAAGAAACTGGGAGGGGACGCAGCCAGGGCAGCTGACCCAAACTGGCCAAAGGGGTATTCCATACCATGTGATGTCATGCCCAGTATATAAACTGGAGGGGGTGGTTGGCCTGGGAGGGATCGCTGCTCAGGAACTCACTAGGCATCTGTCAGTGAGTGGTGAGCAATTGCATTGTGCATCACTTGTTTTGTATATTCTATTATTATTCCTTCCTTTTCTGTCCTATTAAACTGTCTTTATCTCAATGTACAATGTACCAGCTGCCCCTGGCCTCCATCAGTTACATGCGTGAGCCACCATGGACTGAGGAAGCCTTGCGGATGAGGAGCATTGAGGGCGAGGGTCAGGCAGGCGGCACTGCGGAGGAGGAAGGGGCAGAGGCAGAGGGAGAAGCATCCAAGAAGTGAAGGTCTCCTGCCTGGTGCCAGGAGCTGTGGCGAGTTGCAAGTCCTCTCCTCTATGTCCTGGCCCATCCCTGCCACCCTTCTTCAGACGTCTGCCTGCCTCCCTTCATCTCCCTCTCTGCCTGCCCCTTCCTCCATCTCTCTCTCTGCCTGCCCACCTACATGTATGGCTTCCCAAAACTTTTGTTATTCTCCTGCCAAATCTGCCCAGTACCCCATTGCCTTTTACATTTTTAATATGTTTCTCTCTTACCAGCTTCCTTTCCCTGTTTATTTTTTCCACGCTGCCTGGTACACCATTACTTTTTAAATTTAATTTCTACATCTTCCCCTATCCGTCTCCCTGATCCTGGTTTTTTATTCCTCCCTCTGTCCTGTAGCCAGTTGCTTAGGACTGGCTGGGCATCAGTCAGTTGGTGGTGAGCAATTGTTTTCATTTGCATTGCTTGTTTTTCTTGGGTTTTATTTTTCAATTGCTTTGTTGTTAGGGTTTTTCTCCCTCTTACAACTGTTTTTTAAAATATATTTTTAATTATTAAACTGTTCTTATATCAACCCATGAGTGAGTTTCTCACATTTACCCTTCTGATTCTCCCCCCCATCCCACTGTGAGGGAGTGAGTGAGCAGCTGTATGGTGCTTAGTTGCTAGCTGGGGTTAAACCATGATGCTATGTCTACTTTGATGAAGCTGCCTATTGCTATTTTTTAATTGCTTCCTGTCTGTTGTGAGTTCTTGAGCTCTCTCAGCCTCTACCTGTATTTGAATCATCCGGCAGTAACAGTTAGTAACAGCAGGACAGTTAAGCAAGGCACAACAGCAAAGGCGAGCGGACAGTGTTGTGGGCTGTGATGGGGATGAGGTCAATTGCTTGGGTTTTGTTCTTTTGGGGTCTCTGTGCTGCCCGAGTATTTAAGTTGGTCAAAAGGAGTTGCCGGTCTGTTTTGTACGGCAGGCTCTCTCTTTTGGGAAGTGGTATATAACATCTGTGTGTGCTTCTCTGCATTTTCCCGAGGCGGGCCTGGCATCGGAGCTTGTGGTTCCCGAGACATCAGAGCCGGCCCGACTAGACACGCGGGCACCTGATGCGGCCACTGACCCTGGAGGTCAGATTTAACTGGAGGAGAGCGGAGCGATGTTAGGCTGCTGGGGGAAAGAGGGAGTCCAGGAGGTGGCTATTGCGGTGAGGGTAAGAGGAGGGATGGGTGCATGCTTCTCGTGGGTATTACTGTTTTTCTTGAACTTGCTGATGTAACTGGCTCAGCATGGCAGACTGGAGCGCAAAGCACAGATCAACAAGGTTAGCGGAGCGAAGAAGTTCAAACGTGGACGGTTTACTGTTGGTTGGGGTAGTTGTCAGCATCTGCTTGACTTTGCTTTATTTTGTTGCTGCAGATGCACAGTGGGGAGCCAGATGCCGAAGGGAGATGGTGAGGGGAGAGCCATAAGGAGGGCGGGCGGCAGACGGCCCTGGCCATGTCTCTGCCCGGATCCTACGCCTCTGTGTCCGTGTGTGTCCGTGTGTCCGTGTGTGTGTGCCTCCCCCTGCCCCCCCGTGTCCGTGGGGGGGTGTCTGCCCCCACCCCCATGCCCCCGTGTCCAGGGTGCGTGTGTCTCTTCCTCTGCCCCTGTGTCTGTAGTTCCCTAAAAATGCCATAACTCGTCATTAAATTCAACTTTCAGCCACAAAAATGAGAATTACTACAATAAAGTAACCCAAAATGTTTTCATTATATTTTTATGTAATTTTACGGTTTTCCCACAGTTAAAACTATGAACAAGCTTCTAATAATAAGCTCTCAGAGTTCTTTCTGATATGGTGAAGGGACTCCTGAGAAACCTTTCAAACTGAAGAAACTGAACTGAAGGAAGAATTGGAGCCACAGTGGTTCATAACAGGACATGTTCTTCAGCTGGACAAATTGAAGGAGCAGCACCTTTGTCATAAACCTCCAGCAAGGAACAAATTAAAAAGAAAAACAAACAAATCTGTCATATCAGAACCATCTCCTCGGTCGTTTCCCGTTATCAACATTTCCAAAAGCAGCTATTCCAATTCTGAACCGTGTCTCTACCCAAAAACTTTTATGAATGAAAACTGAATTTTGAAAAGGCAGTCCTTGAGAAAGTATCACTCAAAAACATTAGTATGACAAAAATTGTGTCACAGGCTGTGAGAGGCTGAACTGTGAACTATTTATCTTGAGCCATTTGTCTCTGGGATGGCTTGTTTAAGCAGGACAGTCTGCCGGCCGCTGAATGCGATAAGGACGACTATCAGGGCACTGAGGCACCCGGGGAGGAGCGGGGCTGGAGCCACCGGAAGCATGCAGGAATGCGGAGCCTGCCATTGTCGTGGAAAACGTGGTTCTTGAGATAACGTACCGATTTTTGGTGTTGATCAGCGCTTGCGCGAACAGTCCGTATGTGCCCGCATCAGACCGTGCCCTATAAAACCGTGGAGCCAAGCCGTGGGGTGCACCCACCGCCCAAGAGCTGAGGGCTGAGGACCAACGGGACGCCGCTGGATCCACGGTGGTGACTATTCTTGCGACCCTGTCCCGGGTGCTTGCTTGATTTCTGCCTTTTTCTTCCATCCTTACCCTGTCGCTACTATTTTCTACTTTTGATAATAAAAGCTGGTTTGGGGTATGCGGCATCTGACCTGATTTGCGTCTTAAACTCGCTCTTGGGATCGTATCGAAACCTTCCCCGACGTTGGATCGGGACATTAAATTGGCGTCCCGGAGAGGATCCCTGGAGAGGAGAGTGCTGTCCTGTTCCCCACATAACGTGAGACCTCTCAGGAACATGAGGGGGCGAGCTTGGCTTGTGTTTGTTTAAAAACCTACGTGCTGCCTTCCGAGACGAGCGCTTCCCCGCTTTAGACGCGATGAGCGACAGTAAAACTGCCCATGCGGAGCAAAAAGTTTTGTTTGATTTTTTAGAAAAATATAAAGCGCGACCCTCTGTGCCCCGGGTAGACTGGGCTCGGGAAAACTGGTATAACCTGCAGAGCGTTGTTGATCGGGTGGTGGCTTTACAGCAAGTCTCTGGAGTGAGGTCAGGGAAAGGAAAAGCCGTTGTCTGCGCCGTTCTCGGTGCCAGCCTGGCCGCAGCGGTAGAGGCGAGGGATCGCCGCCTCGCTGCAGAATCTCAGCTCACTGAATCCCTCCAAAACCTCGCTCGGTCCCTGCAGGGGCAAGTGGCGGAATTAAAAGAACAGCTCGAAGCAGAAAAGAACGAAGTGAAACGTTTGCAGACTGCTCTTAAGGAGCGGCTCCTTGCGGATGCTGTCCGCGAGGAATTTCCCCCAAAATCAGAAATCGGCTACCCCCTTTACGACCTGCAGGCAGCGAAAGAGAGAGTAGAGAAGCTAGAACCGCCTTCGTCGCAACCCTTAGTCAAGACTGGGTATATTTACGATGATGAGCAGGACCAGTCCCCCCAAGTTACAACTAAAGAGGTCCCCTATACCACCACCGAGTTGGCGAAACTAAAAAAGGAATTTAGCTGAACCCCCAAGGAGTCAGAAACGGAGTATGTGTGGAGAGTATCGTTGTCGGGGGGGGACCACGTTCCATTAAGTGAAAAGGAGGCAGAAGGGTATTGGGGACCAGGAGTGGTTTTAACTACTGGGAACCACCGTGCCCCCTGGTCTTTAACCCAACGGGCAGCCTACTGGGTGGGGGGGTTGAACCCCTTGGAGAGGGGGGATCCCCTCACGATTACGGGCACTGTTGATCAATTAGTGGAGAGTGTGCAGAAGGCGGCTTGTCTGCAAATGATGTATGATCGAAAATTAGAGCCTGGACAGGAGTCCCCGATGATGATGCTGGTAGATCCCGAGCGAATGACTCCCCTTATAAGGGGGCTCCCCGATTCTTTGAGGCCCGTTGGTATACAATTACAAGGAAGGATACAGGCGATGCCCCAGGTTGAGAGAGTTGCAGCTGCTTTAGAAAGACTCACGCCCGATGGGCACCATCAACCCCCAGGTAGGAAAATGTGGACTTGGGGAGAAGTGGCCCAGGAATTGATTAATTACAGGCGCAATTATGTTCCCGTTAACCTTCCAGCCACCAAAACGGACTCCAGGGGCTTGAGGCAAACAGAAGTAAAAGCAGTTCCGCGCCCTGGGAGTGACAAGAGAACACCCCTCACCAAACGGCTGAGAGGGAGAGACATCCCGAACAAACGTAATAGACTGTGGGCAGAGGGACGGCAGAAGGGGATCCCGCGTGACATAATGGACGGGCTGCCAACAGACAAATTAGAAAAGTTGGTTACAGGGTGGCAGACCCACTCTCCTTTTAACTCCCCGGTGTGGCCAGTACAAAAACCTAATGGCAAGTGGAGATTGACTATAGATTATTGCAGACTTAATGCAAATACTGGTCCTTTGACAGCAGCGGTACCTAATATTGCTGAGCTTGTAACCACAACCCAGGAACGAGCCCACCCGATTATGGCAACAGTGGATGTTAAAGATACAGTTTTTATGGTTCCTCTGCAACCAGAGGACCAAGACCGCTTTACATTCACTTGGGAGGGTCAGCAATTTACTTTCACCCAACTCCCACAAGGATATAAGCATTCCCCCACTCTAGCCCATCATGCGTTAGCGCAGGAGCTAGAAGTAGTTCAGACAGAGAAGGAGGTCAGTGTTTACCAAGATATCGACGACATTCTTGTGGGAGGGGATGAGACAGAAAAAGTTCAGATAACTCAGGATAATATAATTTCCCACTTATAAAGCTTGGGGCTGAGAATTCCACCAGAGAAAATACAAACACCGATGAGCAAAGTAAAGGTTTTAAGAGTTTGGTGGAAGGAAGGAATGACGTGTATTCCACCAGACACCCTTTCCTCATTAGATCAGATTAAAATGCCAGATTCAAAAAAGGATTTGGAGCACGTACTAGGATTACTTGTGTTTTGGAGAAAACATATCCCTGATTTTTCAATTATTGCAAGACCCCTGTATGACTTGTTGCGAAAATGGGCTCAGTGGGAATGGACTAAGCCCCACGAAGAAGCATTGCAGTTGCTAGTGTTTGAAGCGACTGCCCATCAAGCTCTTGGTCCCATTCACCCCACAGACCCCGTCCATATTGAATGGGGATTTGCCAAGAGCAGGCTATCAATACATTTATGGCAAAAAGGCCCCGAAGGACCCACTCGACCTATTGGGTTCTATTCTCGCAGTTTTAAGGATGCGGAAAAAAGACATACTGCTTGGGAGAAGGGTTTGTTTGTAGTCAGTTTAGCCTTGAGAGAGGCTGAACAGACTATTCAGCAACAGCCTATAGTGCTTAGAGGCCCATTTAAGGTAACCAAAATGGTTTTAGCAGGAACTCCAGCCCCTGACGGGGTGGCTCGGAGAGCCTCTGTGTGGAAATGGTATGCCCAGATAGAGCATTACTGTGACATTTTTACAGTGTCTGAGGGAGCTGCCAAGATGTTAACCATTCAAGAAGAGATGAGCCCAGACAGAGAAACATCTGAACTCCCTCCTGTAATACAAGTGGCCCCTCTGTTTTCCGAGCAGTTGCAGGATGTTTGGTTTACCAATGCTTCCTCTAAGCGAGAAGGAAAAACTTGGAAATATCGAGCTGTAGCACTCTGCATAGACACCGATGAACAAATAATCACTGAAGGGGAAGGTAGTGCTCAAGTAGGGGAATTAGTTGCGGTATGGAGTGTTTTCCAGCATGAAGCCCAATCTACCTCTCCTGTCTATAGCTATACTGACTCCTATGCCGTATTTAAAGGCTGTACTGAATGGCTTCCGTTCTGGGAACAGAATGAGTGGGAGGTCAATAGGATACCTGTATGGCAGAAAGAAAGGTGGCAAGATATTCTAACCATTGCTAGACAAGGAAAGTTTGCAGTAGCCTGGGTGGCTTCCCACCAACAGGATAACACCCCTGTTAGCCAGTGGAATGGCAAAGCTGACGAATTAGCGCAATTAGCTCCCCTCCAGAGCACCCCAATAGCAGAAGACTGGGAGCGATTGTTAGAATGGCTGCACGTAAAGAGGAAACACTCAGGGGTCAAAGATCTCTACTGTGAGGCCCATGCTCGAGGTTGGCCAGTTACCAGGGAAGAATGTAAAACTTGTGTGTCTGCCTGTGAACAATGCCGTACCTGCTTAGAAAGACACCCCCTGGAAGGTGACCCCCTACACTCGAGGGAGGGGAAAGGGCTGTGGGAAGCTTGGCAAGTGGACTACATTGGCCCTTTCCAAAAATCAGAAGGAAAGCATTACGTGTTAGTTGGAGTAGAGATAGTGTCAGGGTTAGTCCAAGCCAAAGCATTTGCCAGAGCTACTGGGGAAAACACGGTGAAAGCTTTGAAAGGGTGGTTTGGCACCTTCCCCAAAACGCGGTCAATTCAGTTGGATAATGGTTCCCACTTTACTGCTAAAATAGTCCAAGATTGGGCAACCCAGGAAGGAATCTTGTGGGTACGCCATACTCCGTATTATCCACAGGCAAACGGAATTGTGGAAAGAATGAATGGCCTACTGAAATGCTTCCTCAAACCACATAAGCCAGGATGGGCCAAACGGCTATGGGATGCAGTGACTACTGTTAACAGTCATTGGGGAGTAAACGGGTGCCCGAAAATTACAGCATTCTGCCTGAAGGCCCCAACCATTATACCAGCCCCAGATGGCCTGGGTCATCCCAGAAATCCATCACATTTCCCGGGCCAACCAGTCTTAGTTGAACTCCCCATGGTGGGGGGCTGTACCCCTGGTACTGGAAACCCCGATGAATAAATATGCTTGGAAAGCAAAAGAGGCTCATGGAAAAGAACATAAGATCAACACCAGGTGGATTATTCCATCCTTCTAATAACAACTTGTTTCCAGTTCCTTAGAACAAACCGAGTCTGTTTTCTTTTCTCTTTCAGGTGAAGACTCTGGAGCCTGCCTGAAGGAACACATGAAGCTATTGATTGTCTGTGTGGTTTTGTCGGTGATTGTTTTGTTAATATTTATAGGATGTTTGGCATACCACCGCAGATGTTGTTTTGGTCAACCCTTGTTGCTGCCTTTAATATTTGGGGGAACTCTTGCCCCCTCTCCCCCCCTTTTTGACTTGTCGTGGCAAAATGAATTTATTGTTTTAGGCCAGCAAGTGGCCAACGCTTTTAATCTGACTAACTGTTGGGTATGTGGTGGGCCCTTAGGTTTGGAAAGCTGGCCACAGACTGCTGTCCCTATTTCCCCGAAATGGTTAATGAGTAATTACAGGGAGGTCAAAAAGGATTCTTATTGAGGTGAAGACACACAGCCCTGGACAATACGATACCCAGTCCAAGGCAAATATTGCTTGAACTGAACACAGAAAGATGGTGTCCCTATAGGAAATAGCAAGTGCAACTGGACCTATACTTACAGCAACCGTTGCCTCACTGATGGTTGTAGACCAGTTGATTGTTCAAACCATGGGGCAACCACATCATTGCCAGAAAGGGATGACCAGGCATCTTGTTGCCTCTTGAGCTCCAGTTCTCCAAATTTTGTACCTTGCTGGCCCAAGTTGGGTGAATCAAACAGGGCACAGAAAACAGTTTGCCAATTTTTGGTCTTCCACTGATGAGTCTAATAACCGCCTTAATGTTACCTGCTTTTGGCACCGTGGTTCCGGTCCCTGGAAATGCAAATTCACCAATAAAACATATTCTCAGCTCCCTGACAGGACTCAAATTTGGTGGTCAAGTGATAATAAAGACCACTGTCAGGGACATTTGAGCATAGGTCCGGATGGACTTCCTATCTGTTGGGGCACCATGGAGGAGGTAGGAAAAACCGTGGACAGGTTGTTGATGAACAGTCTGTCACATCATCCTCTAGGAGTAGGTAATACAACATATTTCCAGTCATCACGGACGCCCACCGGTTTGTTTGAAAATGGTACCCTAGCCTTAAAGGGCCGCTATTGGGTGTGTGGTCAACATGCCTACAAACTGTTACCAGCAAATTGGACTGGAGCGTGTTATGTGGGGGTAATTTGCCCCTTGTTTTTTCTGCTCCCGGAGGATGAAGGTGACAGACTGGGTGTTAAGGTATATGATGATCTCAATCGATATCGGCAGTCCACTGATACTTCCATAGCAGGTAGAAGTGGTCAAACCTGGGGCAAAGATGAGTGGACCCCTCAAAGTATCGTACAACACTATGGACCTGCCACCTGGAACCCCAACGAGGGGGTTAGCGGTGCTCGAGAACCTATCTATAATTTAAATTGCATTATTTGGTTACAAGCCATTCTAGAGATCATTACTAATGAGACAGCCCATGCCCTTGATCTGTTGGTGGATCAAGCCACACAAATGCGAACAGCAATATTACAGCATCGCATGGTTCTCGACTACCTGCTAGCCAAAGAAGGAGTTGTTTGTGGTAAACTAAATGATTCTAACTGTTGCTTAAAAATTGATGACAGCGGGAAAATTGTTAAACAAATTACCGTGGGAATACAAAAGCTGGCCCATGTTCCTGTCCAGACATGGAAAGGCTGGTACATTGATATGTTTTCCTGGCTCCCTGGTCGTCCATGGGTTAAGCAAATCCTATTCTACTTGTTATGTGGTTTTGCCATGTTGGTTTTTTTACCATGTATCATTCCATGTTTTATACAATTGACTCAACCTGTTGTCACTAATATGCAATTTGTAACTACTGTTTCACCTGACCGTGTTAAACAAACTCGCACTGTGCATCAAACCATGCCATTGGTAGTATGGATTGTATGAAATGCTCTTTTCTGGCCTTTTCTACATAACTATCTTTTCTCAAAACCACCATGGGACCTGAAGCAATCTTTGAACCATGGGGTGGTGTGAGAGACTGAACTGTGAACTACTTACCTCGAGCCGTTTGTCTCTGGGATGGCTTGTTTAAGCAGGACACTCCTCTGGCCGCTGAATGCGATAAGGACGACTATCAGGGCACTGAGGCACCCGGGGAGGAGCGGGGCTGGAGCCACCGGAAGCATGCAGGAATGAGGAGACTGCCATTGTCATGGAAACCGTAGTCCTTGACATAACGTATGGGTTTCTGGTGTTGATCACGTGAAGGTTGTGTGATAGACGAAACCTACAGTGCGTGAACAGTACATATGTGCATGCATCAGACCGTGCCCTATAAAAAACTATGGAGACAAGCCGTGGGGTGCACCCGCCACCGAAGAACTGAAGGCTGAAGACCAACAGGACGCCGCTGGATCCATGGTGGTGACTATTCTTGCAACCCTATCCCGAGTGCTTGCTTGATTTCTGCCTTTTTCTTCCATTCTATCCTATCGCTATTATTTTCTACTTTTGATACTTTTGATAATAAAAGCTGGTTTGGGTATATGGTATTTGACCTCATTTGTGTCTTAATCTCGCTCTTGGGATCATATCGAAACCTTCCCCGACATTGGATCAGGACACAGACATACACACATTGCCTTTTATGTATATAAACCTATGCGTGCATATAATTTAAATATTTTTGTATAATGTATTTTATATTGCATATTTATATTGCTATATAACAATACGTAAAACATAAAAATAGGAGGGTTTTGATACTGTGTTTATGTACACATTACCTGTATCCCGATCCTTCTGAAAGGAGACTTAATGCTTCATATGTATGTTTGACCAGAGTTCAGCATATCAGCTAGTGTTTTGGAATATGGAAATTTCAAATTTTCTTCTAGAATCAACAAGAATTAAATTAACTTAAGAGCATGAACTTTTTTTTAGTACTGTAACAGAACCTTAGTGATTTAGATAGATATTTCTGCATGTGTTATTTTCTTGATAGAAGACAAAGCTTACTGAGGTTACAGCTTACTGATGACACTATATTATTCAAGATAATAGGAACAGCTGACTGAAAAACTGCAGAAGGGCATTATGGAATTGAGTAACTGGCAAATACAGCAGTCGATGAAATTCAATGTAGATAAGTGTAAAAGAACATACGTAGGAAAAAAAAAATCTTAATTTCACATATTGAACAACAGACTTTGAACTGACCATCGTTCAAGAGTAAGATCAAATCAAATCATTAAGTTTGGAAAAGACCTCTAAGATCATCAAATCCAATCATGAACCCAACACCACCATGCCCACTAAACCATGTCCTGAAGTGCCACGTCTACACAGTTTTTGAACAGCTCCAGGGATGGTGACTTTACCACTTCCCTGGGCAGCCTCTTCCAATGCCTCACAATCCTTTCAGTAAAGAAATTTTTCCTAATATCCAATCTAAACCTCCTCTGGCACAACTTGAGGTCATTTCCTTGTCCTATCTCCAGCCACCTGACAGGAGAGACCAGTACCCACCTCGCCACAACCTCCTTTCAGGTAGTTGTAGAGAGCGATAAGGTCTCCCCTCAGCCTCCTCCTCTTCTCCAGGCTAAACTACCCCAGTTCCCTCAGCTGTTCCTCATAAGCCTTCTGCTCCAGGCCCCTCACCAGCTTGGTTGCCCTTCTCTGGACAAGCTCCAGCACCTCAATGTCTGTCTTGGAGTGAGGAGCCCAAAACTGAATACAGGACTCGAGGTGCGGCCTCACCAGTGCCGAGTACAGGGGAACAATCACCTCCCTGCTCCTGCTGGCCACGCTATTTCTGATACAGGCCAGGATGCCACTGGCCTTCTTGGCCACCTGGGCACACTGCTGGCTCATATTCAGCCGGCTGTCGACCAGCACCCCCAGGTCCTTTTCTGCCAGGCAGCTTTCCAGCCCCTCTTCCCCAAGCCTGTAGCGCTGCATGGGGTTGTTGTGACCCAGGTGACCCAAGGACCTGACACTTGGCCTTGTTGAACCTCATACAATTGGCCTCGGCCCATCGACCCAGCCTGTCCAGATCCCTCTGTAGAACCTTCCTACCCTCGAGCAGATCGACCCTGCCTCCCAACTTGGTGTCATCTGCAAACTTACTGAGGGTGCCCTTGACTCAGATCTCAGACTTATGACAGACTTTTCCACAAGAATCTCAGCCCGATGTTCAGCAGTGTTTAAAAAGGCACACAAAACAGCATACAGTTTGCAAAAGAGCAGAAAGATGGAACAGCTTTCATGTAAGGGATGGCTAAGTAGACTTGGAAGAGAGAACTGGAGGGTAATCTGTCTCTTCCTGTGCAAGGACTGGGACCGTCCAATGAAGCTATTGGAATGGGGTTCAAAACAAAAAAAGAAAAGGAGGGGGTTCTTCACACAATGGCTATTTGAGCTGTAGAAGTACTTGGCAAAGGATATTGTGGACAATGAAAGTTTAAATGGGTCAATGGGAGACTGAACAAGTTCATGCAAGAGAGATCAGCTTTATTTCCTTATCCTTGTTTAAAGATTTCCTAATTCATCATTTTTTTATGTTCTGCCTTTCTTTCATCGGACCATGACATTCCCCTTAAGACATTCTCGTAAGTGCCATACAGTTTATTTCCAAACAGAAAACTGACAGATGGGCACAGTAAATAAATACTTCTCTCTGTAATTATCCTAATTTCTAATAGCTCCATCATGTTGCCTGGAATAAATGCTGATAGCTGCTCTAAGCTAGCTGAGACCTTTATTGCAAGGAATGTGTCCTTATCTCTACAAACATTTACTCGCAAGTCCACAGAAGACACCATTAGCATAAATAAAAGATAAACATGAAATTATTTGCAGGAACATAATTGTAAAGTGGCCTCTAACAAACTTAACAGCATACCTTATGCATAATTAATGGTGAATTGCAGTCTGTATCATATGTAAAATTGTTGTTGTGTATCAGGTTTTGTGGCTTAAGCGTGTTAGTTTTCTTCCCCAGTTTTGCAGATTGCACTGTATTTAGATAGGAGCGATAACAATAAAGTGGATACGTGATTAAATTTGGTTTGGTACAACGTCTTTATAAACTACAACAAATAATGGGATTGAGGAAGCAGCCAGAGACACTTTGTACCTAGTTTCAAGCTCCAGGGAGATATTGAATGTGGAAGCAGCAGACTTCCCATGCAACGCTGCAATAGCCAAGATGAGCCCCAGGCAATGCTCGGGTGTTTCATTTCCTACAGCTTCCGTCCCGATGACGCCAGCCACGGGGCAGAGTGCACCACACAGGCCTGTGCCCCCCCCCACCCCCCGAGGCAACTGGCAGGGCCAGGATGGGTAAGTTCATGGCTGAGGTGTCTCATACCCCAGTGCTGTACTCTTTGAGTTTTCCTCTCACCTTCCTCAAGATGAAGAGCTCTCCCCGGACCACCTAGAGAAGCACTTACTCTGCCCTACCTCCTGCGGGTCTTGGACCTCTCAGGCCCCCAAGACCCCCCACAGACCCTCCACAGCCCCCTCAGGCCGCCCTCCCC